TTTTTTTTAAAAAACATGTTTTCTTAACTGTCTTCTCACAGGTCCAGCGGAAGGTGCTAGAGAAAGAAATGACTGATCTCGGACTCGACATGACTAATAAAGATGATGTAAGTTTTTGCTAGTTAAACATAATGTTTTATCTAAAAGAGATCAATTTCATTACATGCTAAATTTCTTTAAGCACGTTTGAAATGCGTATTATAGTTGGCACAAGAGAGAGGTGGGATCTATTAAGGAGAAAATAGGAAACTCGGGTGAGGCAGTCGATACTGGAGTTTTTGAGTGTTGTGATGAAAACACGTTGGGTAGGCTGAGAAACTAACGTCTATCAGGAGTCATGTCTATAAATGCACTGCTTTCTGTTGGAACTCTCTTGGAATTTGTATCTAGGTTTCAAGAACAGGGTTTGGTTAAACAAACTTCTTAATTTTCAGGTCTGCTTTGTTGGATGAGACACTGCTAAGTGAGAAATAGTGATAGTGACAGATCAGGCTTATCTTTCTACGGTTCATTAATTCTGTGAGTTGTAATTGAAGTTTTTGAGGGCAACTGGCATCTTTAGATGTGAGGCAGCTAAAGTACTTCAGACATAGATTTGCCTTTGGGAGACATTTCATTTTTTTAGACGTGAAAAAACCTCCATTTAGCAAATCCAGCAGTATTACGGCTATCTGGATCTTGAGCCCTCAAATTCTTTACCTAAGTGAGGAGTTAGGAAACAGGGATGTCACCACTACCCATCTGAAGCAAGCATCTGTGCTTCTCAGAGCTGACATGCCGTGGTGATTTAGGAGCAAGGTCAGTGAGGAGGAATTTAATACGTACGATGTAGGGTGGTAAGTCTTCATGCCTGAAATCCTTTTGGGCTTTGTCCTGGGAACAGGACACTAGTCAGGGTAGGTTTCTTAATTACTTTTTTTGCTATTTCAAAATGGCTTCAGTATTGCTATCCGTTAGTTTGTCTGTGTCTTTTTCTGCATTACTTGCGAATCTACTCAGAAAAAAATTGGAATTCATAATTGTGAAAATAATACGCTGATATTCTCTGAAATTTGAATATTACCGTGGGACAACAAAGCAGTGACCAACAGTTGACAAGGTCCTTTTGTTACTGTGGAATATGCAATATAATGTATGACAGCAGTCCACTTCCTGGTGTTTTCTATTAGTCTAATGAAAAATGGAGCATATCTGAAGTGATTGGTTTTGGTTTTAATGATGAAAGCGACGTTTTGAATTTCAGGCACATTATGTGAGAAGGTCCCGTAGCGTTACAAGGAAACGGAAACGTGATGAGTCTGAAACCCCTAAATCCGTGGCACGCAGCCGCAGCTCCTCTCGCACACCACGGGACGTTTCTGGTCTTCGTGATGAAAAGGTTTGTTAAATATTTACCTTTATAGCAGTTAAAACGGTGTGATTGTACCTAAAGCAGCTTCTGGGAAACATCACACTAGGGATTCTGGTTATGTTTGTCCAGAGTTCATCTTTCTTCTCTTTGCAGCTTTGTCTTCTGTTCGTTTGAACTCTTTATACTTCAAAAATACCTAATTCAGTCTTACAAATAACTCGTAATGATACAGACTAAGAAAGTACGTCTTAAATTTTTGTCTCTAAATGCAAGTATGAGGGAAGAGCTCCACCAGCTGTGGAGTTCCACCTCCAGTAAGTTAGGACTCCCAGGGATAGCGCGATTGCATTGTTGGCCCACTGGAAAGAGGAGTTTGGCTGAGGGGGATTAGTGTCCCTTGCAGTGGTGCTGTCCGGAGCTGCAGATGGCGGCGTATGTCGGGCGTGGGTTCGTGCCCTTGTTAAAACCATCTAGCTTGGTCGTTTTTCAAATGGTAAAGCTAGTTACCCAAGTTACTGAGGAAGTTACTCTGCATGTTTGTTTGTTTTTAAATAGATGGTGAAGAAGGTAAAGACTATGGCAAAGAAAGCTCAAAAGAAAATGAATCGCCTGGGCAGGAAAGGAGAGTCGGACAGACACATATTTGACTTGAAGCCAAAACATCTGCTGGCTGGAAAGAGAAAATCTGGTAAAACACAGAGAAGATAAGCAGACTTATGAATGAAAACTAATTAAAACAAAGTTTATTAAAACTTAATTTCTAGTCCTGTTTTCCTTTTTAGTCGTATAGTGTTTAACAAGTATGTGGTTTGTAGTGGGTAAGATACTTGAAGCTCAGAGAGGGAAAGTTCTGAGACCTTGACCTTGCAGTTCTAAGTAATACCATGAGAAGTTTGTCGATACCAGTGGCAGAAACCATTTCTAAAACAGACATTAAAAATACCACTTCATTCCACTTTCTTTAGCACTAAAGCATTTAAAGTTCTGTGTAAAACTAATTTACAATTAGCTTAAATCTCGAAATGTGCTGTATTTGTTAACGAAGCTGCCATCAGAACGAGAACCGCACAGCTCATAAGGTACCGCAGCAGCGGGGTTCAGTTTTGTGTGTGCGAGTTAATTCTTCGACGTACACCAAGAGATGAGCTGCATTGCAGGCGACGGCTGGAAAAGGTGGGGAGGTAACAGGAGACCGACAAGTACTGCAGAAAGTTGGTGCACGAACCAGTTCTGAATGAAGGGGGAAATCCTGCCAGGTTCCTCCGGTAAACAGGGACTGAAGCTGGAAGGGCAACGGCAGTGTTAGCACCGACCTGCCATCTCTCATAACCTAAACCAGCACGGGCAGGGAAGGTTACAGCTCCCAACTTTCAGTATTTCATATCCGTAGAAACGAGGATCAGACTGAACTTTTGTCCCAAGTGCATGTCCATTATGCTACTGTCGGTCCTCTGCTTCAGAAGACATTTTCTCTTCAGAAGCTGCTAGACAAAAATTTGGTGTTCTTCAAGGCAAAATATATTGTCAAATGTGAAACACTCCCTTTTTGTCCCTAGTTGGTCAGGAACAAGGCAGGAATTATCTAGAGGTTAGTAAAATTATGCATTATAAATGTGTGCCTGAACAATACACTTAAACCGCACAGTTTTAAAGATTAAATGGGAATCCAATGAAATATGCATGTTAAAAACAAACAGTAAAGCAAAAAGGCAAGGGGCAAGAATCCTTAAATTATTATTTTTTAACTACAACAGGGCAAGCAGAGTGTTCAGATGTCAACTTTAGCATATTGGAGCATTGTGTGTAAATAAATGTTGTTTTCCCTCATCTACTTCCTGTAATAGATCTGGTATTAAAAACATGCTTGTAGTGCTGCAAAGATGTTCGATGTCAAGGAAAACTTTCATGTCAAAACTTTTAAGGGATTTTGAAGAACTGTTCAGCAAAATTTGCTTTCAGCTTCCTCATGCACATCATTTCTACTTCAGGATATGCTTTGGCAGCTTTTGCTCCAAGCTGGCCATTGGAACTAGAGAAGTGGAACTTGGTTAAAATAAATTTACGCCCTGTCATGCTGCTTCAGTGACATTTAACAGGCATGTTGTTGTTTACAGTGTAGTAATGTCAGAGATTATCCTCCGTGTGGCTCACAGCCTGGAAAGATGACAACAGCCCAAAGTTTTAGGTTAGGTATTTTAATCATAATCTAATCCATAAGATAATACTTTATTTTAAAAGTATTTTAAAAGTAATTTATTACTTAGCTAATGTGCCAGATTGCACGGAATTCAGGAGAGCTGTTACACTGCATCACTACTCCCTCACCCACTATTATTTGCTTCAAGACAACACATCAGTCCAGGTCAATGAACCACCAACTTGCCTCTAAAACCTGGAAGTGTCGACCCACTAGAGATGCTGGCACGCAGAAGCCTCAGTGCTGCAGTCACCACTGGGATGAGGAAGAGAAACATGTTAACCATGGGAAAATTTAGTTTTGCCTTGAAACCAGACACAGAGCAGTTACAATCACAGTTTACATGCAAGGAGAAGTGGTATGAAAAACATCCATTTCATGGAGACACTGCTGGGAGAAGTTAACTGAAGAAATCTAGGTTGAGCAGAAGAAATCACAATTCAGCTTTTTTTTGGGGGAGGGGGGAAGTACTTTTAATTCAAATTGAGATAGCCTTGATTATTGTTTGTTATTAAAAAAAGCCTTCCATTTGACTCTTGTTACTAGCAACTGACTGCAAGATGAGAAGAATTGGCTCTTGCATTCTGGCAGGATTTCTGATTAACTGAAATTAAGAGTTGGTGTAAGCCCCTAAATTGCCAGTCTTCAGTTTTGGAGTTCGAGGGGTTTGTGTTTTCCAGGACGTTGGAAAGACTATTACAGTAGATACTGCAGGAAAAAAAGCTTGTATCAGGATGCCTTTGTTTTCCAGAAGACAGAGAAGAGCCATTAATGCATATGTGTCTCCAAAGAGAGGCTACTTCCTGTATTAGAGGGATACTATTTACGTTTGGTATCATTAACCACTGGTTTTTATTTAGAGATATCCAGCACCTGCTCATCACCTAAACAGAAAAGGGTAGTGGGGTAAAGACCCAACAAACCCCTCCATGTTTATCATCTAAAGCTGTGACATGCCGCAGCACTGCAAAGTGAACCTCGGCCCACGCCGGCAATCCCAGTGCTGAAGCTGCTGTGTGTCTGGTTAATTACAGAGTACAGGAGCTGCAGAGATTCCCTTTCTGCAATTAAAATCATCCTGATGACTTGTAAGTTAATTGTTTTTTTCTTCAGGCAACTAGTCTTCTCAGTCTCAATGCAGAACTCAAATTAATCGGTACTTGCTATTTTAGAGGGCGCAGCCACGTGCAGCCACGGGAGCCGGGGAGGAGGCGCCCGAGCTCCCTTGCCAGCACGAGCAGCTGCGCGAGGCAGTGGCAGCAGGCCGGGCACACACGGGTGAGGAGCTTTCATATCACACCCGGTAATGGAGACACATGAACAAGGTCACCGTGACCCATTCTACATGAGATCAAGCTTCACCCAAGAGGAACAGGGCTGCGGGGAAGAGGAGGGGAAGAGAGAAGAAAAAACATTGGCTATAACCATCTCTGTATGAAATCGTTTGTTAAACATGCTCCAGGTGGATCAAGAGTCACGAGTCACCATAGTGTTAGAGACAGCACATCACTGCTAGCCTTCAGCATCTTCTACCCCAGCTATTACATTCGGTGTATTTTTTCATGATCAACAAATTTGTTCAAGTTAGATAAGTTATCCCACCACTTAAAGAGATAGGCCTCTGCAATTAGTTTAAACCAGGGAGTAATCTTAACTTCATTCTTAGAGGCTTTGTCCAAGAGCTGCTTCAGTTCTTTCTGCGTCACGTAGCAGTAGCTTTGGATCTCGTTAGGGTTGGGATTCAGCGTTACGTCCTTCTGTACAAATAAGATGTAGTCTATCTCGTGTTCACCCCAGATCCCATCAGACTGGGCCTTGTAGTGAATTCGTGTCAGATAGGAGATTTCTTCTGGGGTTACCTACAATAAAAACACTTGTCAGAACTGGCGCCAAACCAGAACAATTGCACTGCGAGGCACTGCAGTAGAACTACCAGCTATTACTTTCTTCCTTAAAAACTATTTTTCCCATTGCAATGTACTTCTTCACAGAGAATCGCCATGAAAAAGAATTTCTATTGCACTTGGATGACGTGAATTGCAAAGCCTTTCTCTAGTCAGACTCGCCCTATAATATTTTGCGTGCCTTTCTTTCATCAGCAAGTTTAAAATAGCCTTTACCAGACCTCAGCGCACACGTACTGATGAACACAAACACCTGCACCTGCCCCTTACATCCCCAGAAAAAGACCCGACAGCTCCCTGAAGCCGAGGTCAGAACTGTGTACTGACAGCCCACGCGTGACCCTGACCTACCAGGGATCTGCGCAAGCTGCAGACCAGGTCAGCCACCCTGGGGACAACCTGACCACCGTGTTTCCCAGTAGCACCCTACTTCGCCCGTGCCCCGCGACACAAGAAGCAGAAAGAGATCTTGACCATGAGCGCAGTTCAGCCAGCCTCACCCCGCTCTCTGTGCGCTCCCAGATTGCCCCCAGAAGCGGGCTGGGGGAGTGCTCCAGAGAAACACCGAGTGCCCAGGCCACCCACCTCCCACAGGACGCCCGGGATGGCAGAGGGGCTCGTGCAGGGGTGCTGATGCCCTCCAGGAGCACCCCTCGTCCAGAGGGTGTACAGCACTGCCTTCGGCCGGAGGAGGGACGGGCGCTGCCTTCCTCTGGGCGAGTGTGACAGCCCGCCCACTCACAGTCACACCTGAAGCAACTCCGTCCTCCAGGACTGGGCGATTTACTCTCTGCCTCGTGCTTAGTCTGAGCAGAGGAATACCCTAAAGCACCATTGAGCCATACCAGCTTTTGAGACTCCGGAATACAGATGCCGAATTCTCAAGTTCACTAAGCTCTCTACATCTCCAAAGTTAAACTAATTTTCAGGTTTCAGGCCGACCCTGTCTGCCAGATGCAGTTAGCCTGTAGACTGGCAAACAGTCCCCCCTTCCTTTACCTGCTCCATGGGAATCCCCAACTCTTCTTTCAGTCGTCTCTGCGCTGCTCTCCGAACACCAATGGCCTCATTTTCTTCCAGTTCCAGTGGATGGCTTAGAGGATGACTGCAACAAGTGTTGGTAAAACAATCTGCAAGAAGTTTCAATCAGTACATTTTTAACACGTATGAAGCATTGCGGGGAAAAAAAAAAAAACAACAACAAAACAAACCCACAAAAAAGCACAGAGGTGCTGTAGGACAGTTATTCAACACATCATAGCTTTCTCATTATCTTATTCATCCACAAGACAAGCACATCTTGAACTCTGACAAGTATTTAGAAGTATCTCCTCTCCAAAGTAGCAAATTCTAAAATGCCAGAATGAGTTACACTGCAAGATCAGACTGGCATATTTTTTTAAACATTGATTTAAATTAAACATTTTGATAAATACAATGTGTTTCAGTACTAACCTGGAAATGTAATTTTTGTATTCGACCTCTGCTGCAGCAATAGTTTATTTTCTGCATTAAATAAGAAAACACTGAAAGCTCGGTGCAGTAAACCTAAAAATAAACAGAAAAAGCTCTTTAACAGAGGAGAAAAAAACATATGAAGACAGTTTAAGGGCTTAGAATGCCCTCATTTTTGGGTGATCTAATTCAAAATTCATATATGTCAAAAAGTGAGGATTTGATAAAAAACTCAGTTATTATTTAGGTTTCTACGTCAGCTTATGCAAAACATTAAATTAGAAAAGTGCTAAGAACAACAATGCAACAAAGAGTTACATGTAACTTGGTCAGTTCACCATTCTGGAGATGCACGTTTGGGCCAGCTGCTAAGGCGGGCTCAGCATCCACACATTTTACCATCAAAAAGTGATGACTCAAAAATTCCGAGGAAATGGTATGGAATTTCAAGATGCTTCAGGAACTGTGAAAGTCCAACAGAAACTAGGCTCCCTTAAAGCCAGTACAATTGCTGTTTTCTGCACCTTTTGAGTTTGTTCTTCCTCACTGTGTAGGAAGATGCTTCCTCCGAGTACAGAAAAGGAGGTCATAAACTACTATAAGAGTATACTATAATCTGACCAAGCTCAAATAAAATCCACAATCAATTAGAATGGCAATAAAAGACCTTTCCTATTAGCAACATCTGAAGTAGAATTCTGGGTGAACTACTTAAAAATCAAAGTCTCTTCTACGTGAAAACAACTCAGCACAGAAACAAGTGGCATTCTTTAGAAAAAGATAATAGAATCAGGTATTGGTAACACAAAACCAGTATCATTTTACCATCAAAATGTAACTCAAAAATATTTATCAAGACACACAGCTTGTACCTGCAATCACACATTCCCCACCTTTGCTACTGCCTCCAATTGTGTGTCTTCCCACATTACGTACTTTTAAAATTAGATGTTGCAAGCCAGGGTGGGAGGGGGGTGTGGGGAACTACTTGTTCTGGTTTTATCAACACCCACCTGAGATTAAGGCTTTAATTTAATCATGGCTATATTTCTGAAAATATTCAATCAACTTAATAGTTCAATTAGAAAGTGAACATGCTGTACCTTTATCAATGTTTTCATTCAAGTGACAGTTTTTCTTGGTATCTGCTCCAATCTTATTATCATTTTCATCAATAAGGATGCACATCTCTGCCAAGAGCTGCACCTGCTGCTCGTCCAAGTGATCTGTGTTCACTTCAGGCATCGTGACGGTAGCACACGTTCTACTGAAAAAAACCAGCAAAAAGAAGAGCCATTCGGTAATAACAACATCTATCAGGCTCTGGGCAGAGCACAAGAAACAAACCGCTGGGTTTCCAACACGGTGTAAACGGCGCACCAGTTATATTTTGGGGGTTTTACACGCTTTTGGATCTCTGAAACTTCCTGCCCACAATGCCAAATGTTGCAGCGTGACGTGCTGGTGCTTAACACATTTCTCTGTTGCTTCTCCGAAACGCCACGGCAGCAGCGGCTACAGGACGGACTTGCCAACTGTCACCTTCGAAGGGCTGGCAGCACAGGAATTCCAAGTATCACCCAGCACAAACCTCACCCTGGCAAACCCCGTCACAGCCTGTG